CAAGCTGCCTACATTACTTTATGGTAGAAGAGAATTTTTTTGTTTGTTTGTTTTTGGTTTTTTCAAGACAAGGTTTCTCTGTAGCTTTGGAGCCTGTCCTGGAACTAGCTCTTGTAGACCAGGCTGGCCTCGAACTCACAGAGATCTGCTTGCCTCTGCCTCCCAAGTGATGGGATTAAAGGCGTGCACCACCACCGCCCCCTAGAAGAGAATTTTTATAAACTTTTTTTTCTATTCTAATTTTTTAAAAAAAATGTATGTTATGTGATGAGTGTTTTGCCTACAAGTATATCTGTGCACTATTTTTGTGCCTGGTGCCCCCAAAGGCCAGAAGAGAGCATTGATCCCCCTGGACCTGAAGTTGCTACACATGGCTGTGAGATGCCACAAGGGTGTTGGCATTGACTGAGGTCCTTTGAAGAGCAAGTGTTCTTAACTGCTAGGCCATCACTCCAGCCCCTATACTAATTTTTAAAATTAATTTTGTTCTTTGATAATTTCATACATGCATGTAATGCATTCTGATGACTCTCGCCTCCACTCCCTCCCTCCATCCTGTCACCCCCTCCCCCCCACTCCCTCCCTCCATCCTATCACCCCTTCCCCCTATCACCCCCTCCCCCCTCCCATCACCCCTTCCCCCTCCACTCCCTCCCTCCATCCTGTCACCCCCCTCCACCTCCCTCACCCCACTCCAACCCTCTGCCAGCCTCAACCAGTCTCCTCAGATTCACAACTTTTGGGTTGGGTTTTTTGTTTTGTTTTGTTGTTATTGTTTTGAAAGCATTTCTCTGTGTAGCCATGGCTGTCCTGAAACTCACTCTGTAGACCAGGCTAGCCTCGAACTTAGAGATTCACCTGCCTCTGCCTCCTGAGTGCTGAGAGTAAAAATCTGTGTCACCAAGCCCAGTTGGCATTTTTTTGTTTGTTTTGTTTTGTTGTTTTGTTTTTGAGATAGGATCTTGTTATGCTGCCCACTCTGATCTTGAATTCAGGGGCTTAGCTGAACCTTCTGCTTCAACATAGACAGCTGGAGCTATAACCATGCTCTGAGGTAGCAATTCTTTCCATATTTTCCATTAGAATTTTTGGATTAGAATCCTGGAGGGAAAGTGACTAGGTCATGCGTCTACGACTTGGCTGGCCGGTCACATTCCCCTCCCCAGAGCCTGGACCCTTTGTGCTCCCTCTGGCAAGACTTAACAGAGCTTGTGAGGGCACAGCTCAGCCACAGGTTGGACTTAAAACACTGAAACCTCATCAGTTTGCCTCTCTTTGACAAGTTGCTCATTCTGTGTTCCTTTAGCCTGCTATTTCCTGCTACTGCCAAACTACTTATTCACATGTTGAAAAGTTCACTTGCTGACTTTTTTTTTTTTTTCCTGAGACAGGGTTTTATGTAACCCAGGCTGCCTCAAATCTGATATATAATCAAGGGCGACTTTGAACTTCTGATCCTCCTCTCTATCACCTGACTGCTGGTATTAAAGCCATGTGCCTCCACATCCAGTTTATGCAGTGCTGGGGGTGGAGCCCAGAGCCTCGTGAGCGCTAAGCAGTCTTCTTTATCGGTGATGTCACCTTTATACTAATTCTCATACCCAGTCGGACCTACTTTTGGATTTTTGTTTCTTTAGTCTGTCATGGATTAGTTCCTCCAAAGACACCCAAGCCCGGCTCGGGACTCCCCTTACTGAGCACACTGCAGTAGCAAAGGGCTGAGCATTGAGCTATACCACGCCCCAAACTTCAAGCTTTTCCTGGTGACTCTGGCTGTTCTTCCAGTAAGCTTGATAGGAAGAGCAAGCAGGCATTTGTGCATTGCTATTAAGCATGCTCTATATACAGCTCTGGGGCTGGAGAGGTAGCTCAGGGGTTAGATGCTCTTCCTCCCAGCACCCACTGTCTGCTGGCTCACAACTCCCTAGAACTCCGGTTCCAGGCGATCTGATGTCCTCTTCTGGCCACCATGGAAGTGCATGTGTGTACCCACACACTTATGCACATATAAAAGCCCCCATATTTTTGGCTGGGGTTGTGGCTTAGTAGCTTACTTGCCTCGTGTACCTGAGGTCTGGGGTTTGATTCCTCAGCACAAGTGCCCAGTGGGGATGGCTCCCTTTGGAGAAGTGTTGGAAGACACAACACCAGCATGTTTTGCATGGTGACAGTAGTGCTGCTTTGTTGCTAGGTGACACAGCAGCAGGAACAAGCTGTCCCCTCCTCCACCTTCACCTCTGTGCCCACTGGAGATCCTCTCTGCTAGGCAGATGATGAGGATGTCGCATGGGGTGAACACTTGCCTAGAATGAGACCCTGTGTGTTATCCAAAGAAGGGGTGGGGGCAGGGTGGCAGGCAGAGCCACTTCAGCAGGTGGTGCCCCAGGCGGTGGTCAAGGGTTAGTACAGAGTAGGGTTCAAGTCAGTCTGTACTCTTTCCTCCATTTAGGGGTGTTCTGTCCTAGGAGAAAGGTTTCTATGAGGTGAAAGGCATGCCGGTTTCACTGTTACATCTTGGCCTTGTCCTGTGATCATGCTTAACTGTGATGGCAGAACTTGTCTGTATTCCAACTGTCCAGACCAGTAGCTTACATGAAATGTGGCTGGCTGGTGGCACTAGAAACAGTGAGTGTTTCTCTCTGCAGCCCAAAGGCTGGGAATACAGGTATGAGCCATGACACCCAGATTCTGAAACAGTCAGTAACTGAAGGTGACTGTTCTGAACTGTGTGGCTTTGGCCAGTCCCCAGCCCAGCTCTCCCCTTTCCACTCAGAACCCAAGAGAAGATGCTGCACGTGCAAGCGGCCTCGAGGGCAGGTGAGAAGACCGCAGGTCTCAACAGGGGGCAGAGCGGGGGAAGCTGGGGGCCAGGTCCTCCTTAAGAGTACCCACAGGAGCTCTGTGGGAGGTCAGCCCACAGAATCCCCACTCCCACCCCAGTGGCCATCACAATGGCATTCAGGTCAGCGTCACAATGGCACTGGCAGTGGGAGGCTGCTTTCTTTGTCTGCAGACCTAGTTACAGGAACTCCAGCGTCAGAAACCCTGTTTCCTGAGGGAATAGAAAGGAGCCCAGCCTTTGAGTGGCCTCAAGATGGAGACCCATAGGAAGAAGTCAGGTAGATGTGGGACTGGGTGCTCCAACTCAGCTCCAGGAGCCCAGGACTGCTGGGCCCAGCTGCCTACCTGCAGGGAGGAGTTCTCCATGAGTACTGAGCAGCTGCTGGTCTTTTTCCTGGCGGTCTGGTTCTTCTATTTCTTCTGCTTCCAAGACTAATTTGGACAAAGCCTCCCTTCTGCCTGCTCAGGGGGTGGCTGAGGGTCAGAGTCTCGGCCCCACAGGACAGCTGATCAGGCCTCACCTGCTCGCCTAGGGAGTGAAGACCCAGAGCCTAGGGTTGCTGTGGCCTGTCACCTCAAGCTGGCCTGCTACTGGTTCAGAAGACAGCAGGGCAGCATGTCTGCAGTGGGTCTCCAGCCTCGCACCTCCACTGCCTACATGCCCCCATTACCAGGCAAAGACCAGGACAGGAAGGCTGCCTGGTGGAGGCGAAGGTGTGGCTGAGTCTTCTTGGTCAGTGGAGTTGAGCTCCGCATGCTGACTGGGAAGCTAGTTTATGTCTGGTCCCAGGACCAGTCTCTAATGAGAAATAAAATGCCATGGGGCCAATTCACGTATTTCTTTTTATTTTGGTGTCTTTGAGACAAATGTTTGCTATGGAGCCCAGGCTGGCCTTGAACTCATGGCGCGCCTCCTGATTTATGCTTGCACTACACCAGGCTTTCATTCTTGCGTTCTAGGGAAGAAAACCAGAGCTCTGTGGTGCTGGCAAGGGTGGGGAAAAGAGCACTTCCTTTTTGGGGGTGGGGGTGAGATCTTGAAGAGAAAAGCTTAATACTAAGGGTGTGGGATGGTTCCCCACTGGACTCAGGCTAGGTCCTGCCCACCCCAGAGGCTTCCAGACTTAGTTTTCCAGCAGAGCAGCACAGGCACCTCTGGTAGAGCTGCAGAGATCTTTGGGGGCTCTTGGGAGTTGGGGGCAGATATAGCTCCCAGCACTCACACTGAGGGGTAAAGGCTGAGTGAGAAGTGGGCTACTCTGGAGACCATGAGAGGCTGTGTGAAGGTTCTCGCGCCAAACCGCGCCCTCTGTAGTTGTGCGGGCTAAGGACAGAGCACACGGCAGGGCAGCTCAGGCGTGGAGTAGCGATGTGCAGGGGGCTGTCCGTGCAGACCCTGGTGTCTCACATGAAGGGCAGCACAGCAGGCACTGGTGGTGTGGCATGTAGGAGAGTGGAGGTGACAATCCCCTACTGGCCCCTCCGTGGATATGTCCCCTGGGCACTCTGAAAGCAGATTCCCTAAGCCTCAGGACTGAGCTCTGGGCCACCTGTGGGAACGAAGAACATGTGGTCCAAGGGGCTGAGATTTATCTCAAAGACAAGATGGACCATGCCTGGAAGGGATTGGGGACAGTGTTGATGACCTGCACAGATATCCTTCTAAGCTGGAAGCTCTTGACAATGAGCAGACCTGTACGGAATCCTTGTTTTCTTTGGGACTCATTTTAAATGGGGAAAAAATGTACCCTCAGGAGCCAAAGAGGTGGTTCAGAGAGTAGAGGTGACTGCCACAGCGCTAATGACCTGAATTTCAGCTCTGCGACCACATAGGCTGGGGAGTGAGCCAACTCCTGGAACTGTCCTGACTTCTACAGGCACCATGGCACCCATGTGCCCAAGTGCATATACAGAATTTGTTAAAAACGTGGCCTATAAACCAGTATTTCCCTGCAGTGGGCTATATACAGAACAGGAAGCTCCTCCTCCAGGGCATGGCTCCAGGAGCAACCAGACACACTCTGGCACCTGACCAGAGGGAAGCTCCTGCCCCTCCCCTGGCACTGACACACCACGCCGGACAGATCTAAACCACTGCCTGACAGGTGGCAGCAACTGCACATGGCTGCCTTGTCCCGTGTGCCTGGAGGAAGCCTCAGTGAATGTCAACTGCCATTTTATTAAGGCTCCAAGTATCTGCAGGGGAGGAGGTACACATGGCTAAGTCATGTGCCCTATCATGGTCTACTTCTGAGTAACCCTGAGGCAGAGAAGGCTGTATGAGGTCCCAAGTCACAGTCTACTGAGCGCCATCAACAAAACTCCATTAGAAGGTTGTGTGCAGCCAGGTGGTGCACACCTTTAATCTCAGCACTTGGGAGGCAGAGGCAGATGGATCTCTGTGAGTTTGAGGTCAGCCTGGTCTCTACAGAGCAAGTTCCAGGACAGCCAGGGCTGTTACACAGAGAAACCCTGGTACGGATACCATGGGGTACCGGGGTAGTGCTGCTGAACAGTCTGGCTCTGGTGGGAGAGTGGCAAGGTAGGCTAGGGAGAACAGGGATGTCCCCCCAGCCCAGCCTATGGCTTTATTATCCTGTGTTGTCTAAGCATGAGGGGGTATCCTGACCCAGCCCCCGTAATACACCATGAGGTGCTAAAACCCAGGAGAGAATAGGGCCACTGGGATCCTGCTCTTGCTCCCTTCACCTGCAGGTCTCCCCCAAAATGGGGCTTCTTCAGTTGAGGTTGGTCCCTCAAAAATGGACCCGCAGCACATCCTGGCTGGCGACTGGCTGCTGGCAGGCTGTGCACATCATGGGCTGGGAGCGCTGCTGCTCACTCAGGCAGGGTCGGCACAGGAGGTGGCCACAGGGCAGCTGGTACACAGGCTCCTTCGTGGAGTAGGAGGAAAACGCTCTTTTGCAGGAGGCACACTCTGGACCACAGACACTTCTGGGGTGCTCTGGTGAGTCAGAAGAACAGGAAGGGTCAGGTGAGGCTGTTCCTCAGTCAACTTTGTCCCTGGAAGCTGGGGACTGGCAAGCCTCCCTTCTACCATCTTTATCAGTCTTGGTGCTGTCAATGAATGCTTAACAACTGGCCTCTAAATGCACTACATGGAAGCAGGCCTGTCCCCTGGCCTCCCAGACAAAGTATATACTCCTCTGCCAAAGCTGGAGCAAGGTACAAGCTTACCCTGACAAGATCAGTTGCAAGAAGAGGGAAAAACACAATGTGGCCCAAATATCACGGTCAGAACAGTCAGGGTGGAGGGAAATCACCAGAGGAGCACTTCAATCTGTCAGGAGCTGCCTTCTAACCCCTTAGCTCCTTTCTGGAACTGCCCTGGCCTTGGGCAGGCTCTCCCACCTTAAGATTCACTACAGATTCCCTTGATGTGATCCAGAGGAAAGGAGGTAAGGTCTACACCACAGGACAGTGGGGCTTTGAGTCATACCATGTGAATCTTAAGAGGTGAAACACCTCTGTGATCGTTAGCTGTGAAAGACTCTTCTGGCTGTAAGGACAATGGGGCCATGGGTGATAGGGATGCTGAGCACAGAAGCTGCAGGGAGTTCACAAGGGCTGGGGAAGAAGATTCAGAGTTGGTACCAGGGTGTTCCTCAGAACCACAGCAAAGAAAAGCACAAAAGGGTTGATGAGATGGCTCAGTGGACAGAAGGACTTCCTGAGTTCCATCCCTGGCACCCACGTCTGAGCGTTGTCTCTTCACCTCCACACATGTGCTGTGGCATGTATGTACTATGTACAGGCACACACACAAATAAGAGCATACAAGTACCTAATCATGAACGGCCCATCAGAGTGAGGACACTGGAGGAAAAACGGACTCCTACGGTGAAAGCTTGACAAGTGGAGGATGGGCTCTTTACCAACACAGGCTCAGAGGGTGCGGGGAGGAGAGCTCTGAAAGCAGACAGTGCAGTTCAGAGGGACTGGAGACGCCAATGAGAGGGGTCCCAGCAGCTGTCAGGGAGGGAAGGAGAGCAAGGGGTCACAAGAGAAGCACTAGGTGAGGGCTCTCACTGGCAGAAACTCTAGCAAGGGAAACTGAAAAGAAATGGCTGAAGGCAGGAAAGAAGCTGCATCGTCTGAAGGCCCAAAGAAAGAGAAGGTGGGTAAAGCTGGTCAGACTGGCCAGTCACATCCCTGGATGCTGCGAGGACAAGCAGCCGTGAGACTGGCAGTTTTACTGGGCACTTTGAAAGACTTGTTCTTGGGAAGTTGGGAAGAAACAATCAGAGCAGGGAGAGTGTGATGGAGACCCAGGTGACAGCAGGAGGGACGGGCTCTGCATCAGCAGGAGCAGTCAACAGCCTGCCTTAGCAGCCCCACCAGGTTTCATTTTGTCCTTTGTTTAAAAATGGGGGTTGGGGAGCTGGAGAGATGGCTCAATGGTTAAAGAGCACTGGTTACTCTTGCAGGACCCTGGGTTCAGCTCTAAGTACCCACGTGGTGGCTCAAAGGTATCTGCAACTCCTGTTTCAGGAGATCTGACACTTTCTTCTGATCTCCACCAGGCATGGACATGGTACATATACATACATACAGGAAAAACATTCATACAGATAAAATTTTAAAAATTAGTCAATTCCTTACTTTGTATCTACCTTACAATATGATCCTAGGGTTTTTTTATTTTTTTGTTTTTTTTTGCAAAATTTGGGCCATTACTCTACCTCTGTGCTTTTCTAGTACAATGATAAAAATGTTACCAAGAAGAGAGAAGATGACCTCTGAAACCTATACCTTTCTTCATATGTAGGTGAAACAGCCCAGATGTCAGATGAGGGGAAGATCAGGACCATCAAAGACCCAAGAGAGAACTATGCAGCCTACCACAGCCAAGTGTGCTGGGCACCTTTGTAATCCCAGTACTTGGGAACTGGAAAGTTCAAGTCCAGCAAGACCCCACGTCAAAAAAATCAAAACAAACATACAGCAAAGGACAGTCAGGCAGAGTTCACAGAATGACATGGTTAACTAAGATCTTGCCTGTGACGAGTCCCATTTCCAGACAGCCCCTTATCCCCTTCTGGAGAAGACAGAGAAAAGCTCTCTCTCCAGAATGGGAATTACAGTAAGGGAGCTGGCTAAGCAGACCCACAGAACACAAAGAGACGAGGCCCAGCATCCTACACAGGCAGACACTAGAGCTCACAGGGGATTACCGTAGCTGGTGTCTGGCCTCCTGGCAGTACTGCTCCCTCTTGTGCCCAGCTGCTGGAGCTGCCCCTTGGAGAGCCTGGCAGTAAAGGAAGGCATGGAGCCAAGGGTGGAAGTCAAGGCGATTTCCAAACTCTGCGACAGCTTCTGCTCATGGGACACTGGACCTGTGGGAGACACAGAGATCATGACATCCAGGAAGGCTCAGCAAAAGAGAGATGGCTACTCATTCTTGGAAGACCAGAAAACGACCCTTCCATCTTCAGACATGTGAGTATAAAGAAAACCTCTTCCTGTGTCTCCCAGGACTATGAACGCAGAACAACGAGCCAAAGTCCTGGGAATCCTGCCGCCTTCCCATCTAAAATGCCTTCAAAGGTTGAGGCTTTCTCTAACTTTTCCCTAAACAAAGTGTTGTGCAGGACAGAGCCATCTTGAGGCTTTGATATAGAACTGCACTTCATTTTCCTTCCTTCCTCATTTATTCTGTGGTGCTGGGGATACAGTCCTGGGCGTGTGCCTTCCAGACAGCCACACTACTGCTCAGCTACATCCCAAGCCCGTGTTACATTTTGAAAGGCCTGCCCACTGGCCCAAGAAATGATGAGACAGCAGACACCAGCTCTGCACAGTTCCTACACTCTACCCTCTGCCTCAGCGTACTTCCCTTCCCTCTCCCTGCCCCCCCTTCTTCTGAGACAGGGGTATCACTATGTAGCCCATGCTGGCCTCAAACTCAAACTCATGCTGATTCTTCAGCCTCTGCCTCTTAAATGCTGGAAATACAGGCATTTGCTACCATACTTTTCTTATTTAAAAAAGAAAAGCCAAGTGGTGGTGGCACATGCTTTTAATCCCAGTACTCAGGAGACAGAGGCAGGTAAATCTCTGTGAGTTCAAGGCCAGCCTGGTCTACAAAGCAAGTTCCAGGACAGCCAGAGTTGTTACACAGAGAAACCCTGTCTCCAAAAACAACAAACAAACAAACAAGCTCAAGCACCAGGGAAACAGCTTTGTTAGTACAATGCTTTCAGTAACAGCATGAGAAGCTGAGTTTGCTCTCCCAGAATCTGTGTCAAATATCCAGGAGCACTGCTCACACCTGTAACCCCAGCGCTAGGGAGACAGAGACAGATGCCTTGAGCTTGCTGGTCATGCAAGCCTGACAACCCAAGTTCAATCCCCAGAACCCACAATGGAAGCCCTGCAAGTTGTCCTCTGACCTCCACACACATGCCATGGTACATGAGTGCCTGCATGAGCACGTGAGCACATGCATGCGCGCGCGCACACACACACACACACACACAAAATACTTGGGAGATGGAGGTAGAAGAATCATAAATTCAAAATCATGCCAATAATATAGAGAATTCTAGTCCAGCCTAGGTTATATAAGATCCTGTCTCAACAAAAGGCCGTCTCTAAAACTCTCCATTTAAATTGGGAAGTGGTGGCACACAACTTTAATCCCAGTACTCGGGAGACAACGTGGATCTCTAAATTTGAGGCTAGTCTGGTCTACAGAGGGCAGCAAGAAAAACTCTGCTTCAAAACAAACAAACAAAAAAACCAAAACAACCACTCTTAATCTAGGCCAGCATAATGGTTTAACAGGAAAAAAAAAAAAAAAAGGGACCTGTTTGGTTGTTTTGTTAACTGGACACAAGCTGCAGCTATCCGGGAGGAGGAACCTCAACTGAGAAATGTCTCAATCAGACTACCTGTAGGCAGTTTATAAGGCAATTTTTCTTGATTAATAACTGATGTAGGGGACCAGACTACTGGGGGATGCTGTTACTCCTGAGCAGGCGGGCCCTGGTGGTAAGAAAGCAGTATGACAAGACATGATGAGCAAGCAGTAACCAGCACTCCCGTGGCTTCTGCTTCAGTTCCTGCCTCCAGGTTCTGCCTCAAGTCATTCAGGTGACCTAGTGTGACCTGAGAACTGGAAGATGAACCCTTTCCTCTGCAGGTTTTAGTCATGGTGTTTAATCACAGAAGGAGAAATCTAAGACAGTGACTGATCCAACACTGACGATCTGAGCTGTTATCACATACAACCCCACAACAAAAAGCTTGTAATTGATCTTAGATTCCAAACCCCACTAACTTTTCTTTGCTTCAACGTGGCATTTAAAATCTTACTGAGTGAAACAAAGTGGTATAAACCTGTACTTTCAAAACCGAAAGGCAGAGACAGGAGAGCTGTCACAAATCTGAGGCCAACCTTATCTATAAAGTGATTTAGTTAAATGCCAATCAGCAACATGCATTGTAACAGTGATTCCAAAGAAAGGAAGATAAAGAAAAAGCCAAAGATCTGGCCAACTTTGATTTTTCTTCTGGTTGGGTTTTGGTTTTGATTGATTTGGTTCTTTTGAGACTGGTTCTTATGGTGTAGTCCTTGCTGGGCCAAAACTCATTATGTAGACCGGGCTGGCCTTGAACTCACAGAGATCTATCTCCCTCTGCCTCTTAAGTGCTAAAATAAAAGGTGTGTGCTACTATGCCATGCTCTAAGTTCCATTATGTTTATTTTAAAATAAAATTTTTTATGTATATAAATGTTTGCCTGTATGTATGTTTGCCTGGTTCCCACAGAAGCCAAAGAGAGAGTCAGATCCCCTGGAACTGGAGTTAAAGATGGCCGTGAGCACCCATGTAGGTGCTGAGAACTGGACCCAGGTCCTCTGAAAGAACAGCTAGCACTATTTACTGCTGAGCAATCTCTCTAGGCCTACATCCCAAATTCTATTTTTCAAAACAGTCTTTGCCATAAGAGATCTACAGACAATTTTCCTAATTAAGGCACTAGAATTTCTATTCAGGTGGTGTCAGATGAAATGACACTTTATATTTCTTTCATTTTAAAAATTACTTATTTAGTTTTATGTGTACGTGTGTGCACCCATCTATGTGGGTTTATGTTTACCACTTGTATGCAGGTGCTGGTAGAGACCAGAGGCCATCAGGTCCCCTGAAACTGTAGTTACAGGAGGATTTTTAGTCCCCCTGATGTGACTGTTTGCCTCTGGAAGAACATTAAGTGCTTTTAACTGATAAGCCATCTCTCCAGCTCCAATCTTCCTTTCTTTCTTATCTGCCTGTCTTTTACAAAAATAACATGTCAGCTGGGCATGGTGGCTGTACTGGCTTGGTGGTGTCAACTTGACACAAGCTGGAGTCATCAGAGGAAGAAGCCTCAGCTGAAGAAATTCCTCACTGAGATCCAGCTGTGATCAATGGGGGAGGCCCAGACCATGGCGGGTAGTGCCATTCATGGGCTGCTGGTCCTGTGTTCTATAAGAAAGCAGGCTGAAAGTTGGGCAGTGGTGGCGCACACCTTTAATCCCAACACTCAGGAGGCAGAGGCAGGTGGAGCTCTGTGAGTTCGAGACCAGCCTACAAGTGCTAGTTTCAGGACAGGCACCAAAGCTACACAAAGAAACCCTGTCTCGAAAAACAACAACAACAACAAAACCCACAACAAAACAAAAACGAAGGAAGGAAGGAAGGAAGGAAGGAAGGAAGGAAGGAAGGAGGCTGAGCAAGCCATGGGAACAATCCAGTAAGCAGCAACCGCCTCCATGACCTCTGCATCAGCTCCTGCCTCCAGGTTCCTGTCCTGTGTGAGTTCCTGTCCTTACTTTCTTCAGGGATGAACAGCGATGCTAAAGTATCAGTCACTTTAGTATCAGGAAAGTATAAACCCTTTCCTGCCCAACTTGCTTTTTTTCCATGTTGTTTTGTCACAGCAATAGAAGCCCTAACTAAGATGGTGGCCCACACCTTTAATCCCAGTACTTGGGAGACAGAGGCAGGTGGATTTCCAAGTTCAAAGCCAGCCAGGTCTATACAGAGAAATCCTGTCTCAAACCAACCAACCAAATGACAACAAATGAAGAACAAATCTTGTCAGTCTGAAAAGTTACACCAGACTCCAGGTTCTCCTCGGGGAGTGGCAGGACTGCTGCTTCCAGGAATCACTGGCAATGCCAGAGGAAAAAGGCAGGAAGCCAGGCAGCTTAAATCTCATACTCAACAACAATACAACTCACTCACATTTACCGACCATATTTTCTTTCTGAGAGGCAGGCCTCCAACCCCACAATCTACCACTTTTGTTGTGGTACTTCACGGATAAGTGAGACAGAGATACCCACAGTGCATTTCCATCAATCTCCTCTGCAGGGGGTGGGGGGGAGAGCTGGAGAGATGGCTCAGAGGTTAAGACCACTGACTGTTCTTCCAGAGGTCCTGAGTTCAATTCCCAGCAACCACATAGTGGCTCATAACCATTTATAATGAGATCTGGTGCCCTCTTCTGGCCTGTAGGGATACATGTAGGCAGAACACTGCATATATAATAAATAAATAAATCTTCAAAAAAGAAAAAAAAATCCCCTCTGGGAAGACTAGATATAGTACCCCATAGAAACATGACATATAGAGGTTTCAGAAAAGAAGACATGGACTGCTTTAAGGGATCTACTGTTTCTCTTTCCAGCAGATCAGAATGGAGGATTCAAGACAGGAAAATACACTCATCTTGTTAGAAAAGACATAGGGAACACAAAGCAGGTGAGCCCACCAATGCAAGGAAGAGGGCACAGAACATGAAGACAGAACTCAAATAGTCAGATGTGGGGCTTACACTTGTAGTCTCAGCACTAAGAGATCGAGACAGGAGGATCAGCACAATTCAACATCAGCCACTACATAGCTTTTAAAAAGCTTGAGTTACAGAGTGAAACTCTCTTTCTCTCAAAACAAGTAAAATAAATAAATAAGAATAAAATTTTAAGAAGAAAAAAATTAAATCTCAGGATAATAAGAGAACACACACACCACTTTGAGACTTACAGGTTACCTATGGAATAAGGACAAAACTGAGATGCCCTGCAAAAATGAAAAGCAGCATGGCCCCAGCTTCATAAAGCTAAGTGAGTAAAGCATAAAGCCAAGAACAGCAGCATCACGTCAGCAGGAGGAACAGGGATGACATAGTCGTGGATACAGAGGAGTTACCTGCTGAACAGTCCATATCCGTAAGGCCGAGTTCACTGGGGCCTTTCATCTTCTTAGCAGTGGGCTCTGAGGTAGTGGGTGAAAGCAGAGGGCTTGTGGGAGAGGAAACGGTGTTCATGCCAAGGCTGTGTTCAGCCTGCGCCTGCTTCCTTTTCCTTGAGGGCAGGGTAATGACAGAAGGGGTCATTGCTGATGCAGTTTGTGCTCTCCCAAGCAGGTGGCAGCCAGAAATAGAGTGCTGGAGTAGGAAACGGTCGATCCGGGCCTTCAGGGAGGGATGAGGTAGCGGGTGGGACTGTGGGGTAAAGGCTAACCCTGTGAATGGGTCACTGGGCACTCGGCCCCAAGTAGCTTCACTGAGGTTACACTTCTCCAGAGTGCTCTGGTCAATGACCTTGCCTGAGGGCAGCAGCATGGGGCACGGCATGATCTCCAGGGTAATAGGATCTAGGAACTCCTCAGGCACATCATCATCCACCTCAGACATCTCCTGTAAGAGACAGGGAGCCTGCTGGCCCTCAGACTGACCCCCAGAGTCACAGTCACTCTCCATGGGCGAGGCTGGAGTGTGCAGACCCAAGTCCTTTGGCAGGCTTCCTGATGCTATCAACAAGACACTGTTTATGACCTCCTGAGAGCAGGTCTTGGCTGGCTGACCCCACACCTCTAAACGCTTTATGCAAGAGATGCCACTGCCTGTCACATGGGTGATTCCGATCTTGAGATGGGCCACATGGCTAAGGGAAAGAGCCCCTTTATTCCAGAGTTCCTGGGCTACAACAGCAGGGGAGAGGAGTGTGACTTCCATTGGGCTAAAAGGTGGCCTGGCCTTGAAGCCCCTGTGGCTGAACACCACGTGATTCTGGTTTTTCAGCAGGACTTTGCCTACCAAGGTGAATGCCTCCTTGTCTGGGACAGACAGCTCCATCGGGTCTGTAGTCCAGCACTCGTGTGAACCCAGAGAAGCTCTGCTAGATAAGGCAGATGTGTACAATTCCAGGCCAGTGACATTCTGGCATCCCCCCGTTGTGAGATCTATATTAATCCTACAGAGTTCTACATTAAATGGAAAGGAAACTGTCACATAGATTGGAGGTCTAATGAAGTACTCTGTCCTAAAGCCATGGCTTCTCTTTATGAGGTCTTCAGAGATGAGATTTTCTACTTCATAACCATCAGCTGATACCTAGATTAATGACAAAGAGAAGACACATTGATCCAAATGAAGACAACAGGTTTTCAAGAATTGTTACTTACAAAAATACTTTTGATAATTATTTATTTAATTTATTTATTTTTATGTTATGTATACGGGTGTTTTGACTGCTTCTATGTCTGTGCACCATATGCAGTGTATGCAGTGCCTACTGAGGCCAGAAGAGGGTGTCAGAGCCCCTGGAACTGAAGTTCTAGATGGTTGTGAGCCATCATGTGGGTGCTACCAATTATATCTGGGTCCTGTAGAAGAACAACTAGTGATAAATATATATATATATAAATATATATATATATTTATATTTATATATTATTATGTTCTGTCTAAGGCCAGAAGAAGGCACCAGATTTCATTATAGATGGTTGTGAGTCACCATGTGGTTTGTTTTTGCCTCCCTCCTGCTAAGATTAAAGGTATTTGCCACAACACCTGACAAAAGTAAGTAAATCTAAAAAGCAAAACAAACAAAAAGCCAATAACAAAACAACAGAAAACTGAGAGGGAGGGCAAGGGAAAGAGGAACAGAGTGAGGGTAAGGGAGACACTGAGTGACTGATTCTACTCCGCTATGACTGTGCACTGATCCATCAAGACGGTAAGTCGATTTTCCACAGAGTCACAGAGCACCTCACAGCCGTGTTCTGGGATCCGTGACTGTCCAATACTTGCCTAAATGTTGTCTGCTGGAATCCAAGGGTGAGCGCACAGGAGCCTAAATCAAGGCCACATACACAAGGCAGGAAATGGGGAAAAGCATAAGAACACATTACATATTTTTGTGTATATATTTGTTTGGTTTACCTTATTGCAGTGAATTCTTGGTCTGAACTGTGGGAGGCAAAGATTTATTACCATCTTTGTGGCTGAAAGAATAGCTTCCAAGCATCAGAAACAGCCTTTAAAAAAAAAGTGAAACTTAATATTAGCCAGATACATTATAATTCAGCTTTAAAATCGGGCATAGTGGTACATGCTTTTGATCCTAGCACTTGGGAGGCAGAAGCAGGCAGATTGCAGTGAATTTGAGGTCAGCCTAGTCTACAGAGTAAGTTCCAGGACAGGCAGAGTAACACAGAGAAATCTGCCTTGCGAAACCAAAAACAAACAAACAATGATCGATCAGTTTTAAACTTTCAGGAGTTGAATCTAAAAGAGGAGCAGATAGGGCAGAAACAGAATTTATAGTATATTCTCCCAGTCCCACCATTTCCTTGTGTCCTACTGATGATGGGGGAAATTACTCACCGAAAAGTTAAGAAGGCAATTTTCTTTCCTTTTAAAAACATATTTTATTTAAGGTGTATGTGTGTGTCTGAGTGTATGTCTGTGCACCGTGGGTATGCAGGAGCCCAAAAAGGTCAGAAGAAGCTTCAGATACCCTGGGACTAGGGCTACCGAAGGCTGTGGACCACCATGTGGATGCTGGCAGAACCCAGGCGCTCTGCAGCCAGCGCTCTCAGCTGCAGAGCCGTGTCTCCAGGCTGGAGAAGGCGATTTCTAGCCTAAATTCTACAGATGGGCAAAGCGTGTCAGTTCTGCAGGGCTCCCAGAGGAAGGAGTCAGTGCACAGCAGCAGATAACAAGGTGGTGTGAATGGGAAGGGTCACAGAACACAGTCATAGTGGTGCTGCACACTCAACCCTAGATATTGCTTCCTTCCACACCTGGAAGAGTCGAAACTGTTTTTGAGACAGCTGGGGTGTTTTTCTTGGCTTACAGACTCTATGGATGTGAGGGTAATATCATGCACTCTCATGGCATGGAATCCTCATGAACACGGCATTTATGTCCATTTATTTAAGTATACCAGAGTCCTTTTTTAAATTACAAAATTGTTACTGTGTATTTATACATAGGATGTGTGTGAGGGCATATGGGAGGACAGGTATATGCCACCACACTGTTATGTGGTAATGAAGATTAAATCAGGGATTTCCTACATGCTAAGCAAGCACTCTACCAAATGAATTACTTCCCCAGCCTGACCCATGAAAATCTCAATTACTCTTTCCAACATATATTGGACCAAGTCTGGGGGAACTTTAACGGGCCCTGTGCATTGTGACTGCCTCTCCTTACCTTCTAGTCAAAAGTCATAGAGCTGCTCCAAGTTGGTCAACGGTAGCCAGCTCCACGAGAACATTACTGAAGTCTGAGCCTAGGACAGCAGCCCACGGACCGCCTTTCTCCGCAGCACTTACTGAGTTGGAAGGAACACACAGAGGCTATCCAATTCATCCACATTAAATTCTCTTCATTGTCAGCTTCAACGTCACCTCTTGCTCCCTGTCCGGTAGTGGCAGATCTTATCTCATACTACTACCTCACAGATTTCTCAGGAGTTTGGATGATCCTCACCTATAGCAAAAACAAATGGTAACACATTAATACAATTTTAGGGTTGTGGGTGGACCTCAGTGACAGTGCATTTGCCTAGCTAGCATGCAAGAGGTTCTGAGTTCAATCCCAAGCACCACAAATAACTTTAAAAAATACAAATTAGGGCTGAAAAGATAGCTTAAGGGTAGAGAGGTTGACTAGTATTTGTAAAACTCTAGGTTCAATTCCTAGCATTGGAAAATCTAAAATATATAAAAATAATTTAGTTGCTCTACGTGGTGATTTGAGTGAGAATGGCCTCCACAGGTGCTTGTGTTTGAACAGTCGGTCCCAGCTACTGAAACTGTCTAGGAGGATTTGTTGGAGGTGGTGTGTAACTGGAGGAGGTTTCAAAAGCTCACACCAGGTTCAGACTGTCCGTTTCTGTCTCTGTTTCTATCTACCTGTAACTGTGAGCTCTCAGCTATTTCTCCGGCACCATGCCTGCTACCATGCTCCTTGTCAAGATGGTCAAGGCCTAATCCCTTGAAACTGTAAGTAAGCTTCCAAATTAACTGCTTTTTTTTTTTTTTTATAAGTTGCCTCGGTCATAGTGTTTCCCCCCTGCAATAGAATAGTAACTATGACACCGTATTAGTCTGCATTTTGTTGCTGGAGAAAGGTTTTAGTTGGCTTACACATCACAGATCACAGTCCATCACTGTGGGAAGTCAGGGCAGGAATTAAGAAGCAACCTGGAGGCAGAAACATGGAGCAGAGACCATGGAGTACTGCAGCTTACTCGCCTTCTAAACTTCACGACTTAATCCATTTACTGCTTTTTATATTCCCCAAGAACACCTCCCAGGGCTGGCACTGCCCACTATGGGCTACACCCTCCCACACAAATCATTAATCAAAAAAATGACCCCACAGATTTGCCTACAGGCTTACCTGATAAAGGCTTTTTTTTTTTTTAAGCTTTTGAGTCAGGGTCTCTCTATGTAGCTCTGGCTGCCCTGAAACTCACTGTGTACACCAGCTGAGTTGGCCTCAAACTCACAGATATTTATCTGTCTTCCCAGTGCTGGGATTAAAGGGGTGTTCCACTACAGCTGGGCTGGCAAGAGGCTTTTTTTGTTTTGTTTTGCCCACATGTATAACTGTGTACCACAAGAATTCCTGGTGCCCATGGAAGCCAGAAGAACATCTCAGATCCCAAGATGGAAGTCACAGCTGGTTACAAGCTGCCATGCAGTGGGTCCTCTGGAGGCGTAGTTTGATTGTCTTAACCACTGAGCCATCTCTCTAGCCCCCAATTTTCCCAAACTAAACTAGTACAGTAGGACACAGGTGGTACAACACGCCTTTCCTCAGCTGACTCTCTGGGTAGGGCCCTGGCCCATCTCTAATACCACTTCAGCCATTCACATCACCAAGCTTCTTCCACTCCAGCGCATGCACCTAACTGTTCCAACACTGCAGAGACCACAGTAAAGTGGGATGTAGTTTTCTTAAGCTGTTCAAACAATTATGCTCTACTCTACCTGATATACTCCTTTTGAGATCCATAAGAAATTTTTCCCTTGTTCTCTATATTAAAATAATTGTTTCTCCCAAGAACCTCAATGTCATTAAGGTATGACAAGGGTCCTTTACTTCGGCTGCTATGAAGCAGGGATAAATCAAGTTTGGTGGCACAGGTCTTTAATCCCAGAACTAGAGGCAGAGGCAGGCAGATCTCTGAGTTCCAGGACAGCCAGGACTATGTAGAGAGACTATGTCTCAAACACCAAAAACAAATTAAAAATAAATAAAAAGGAATAAAGAAAAAGCAATAATAAAATCTGTAGCTTGGCACTTAAATATATCTTTGTCTAAAATATTTGTATCATAGACTATAAAATTGCTTTGAAATAATTTTCAAACAGGATGGATAAAGTATAATTCAATAGTAAATCATCTCCTGTAGCTGGCCTCAAGAGCACTATGCAGCATAGACACAGCTGACTACTGATCTTCCTTCTCCACTTCCAAGTGCTGGGATTATATGCGTGTGCTACCACACCAGACCTGAGAGAAACATTTTAAGTAGATTTTTGGTTTTCCCCACTTAGTCTTAATTCAGTTTACATTTTTAAGAGATTCTACATGCTTTTAAAGATTCCAATTATAATAAATTGGATCTTTCTTAATTTTTTATTGTCTAAAGAAGGTTGGCAAGTAGTCTTGCATTCCTGACCCTCCAGTCTCACGGCCCTACTACTGGGGTTACAGGCATGTACCATCATGGTCTCCGGTCTCACGGCCCTACTACTGGGGTTACAGGCATGTACCATCATGGTCTCCGGTCTCACGGCCCTACTACTGGGGTTACAGGCATGTACCATCATGGTCTCCGGTCTCCACGGCCCTACTACTGGGGTTACAGGCATGTACCATCACGGTCTCCAGTCTCCATGGCCCTACTACTGGGGTTACAGGCATGTACCATCACGCCAACTTGTGTTAATTTTGGGGGCCAGTTATTCTACTTACGAGGAAATACACATTTCAGGGCCTTTATATGTGATCAGTTTATTTTTTTTTTATATTTCTGGATGTTTTTGGTGGGGCTAGGAGTTGTGCTTCATGCACCCTAGGCGTTCTACCACTGCCCAACATCTTCAGGGCTTTAACTCATTCAACCTAACAGGTGCCAGGTAGATTTACTTGGGGTTTTACAATATCAGTAATAGTGATAGTACGCTTTCTGAAGTGATAATTTCGTGTGTGTGTTTAACAATTCTGGAACTCACTCTGTAGATCAGGCTGGCCTCGAACTCACAGATAGAGATCTGTTTGCCTCTAGTTCCCAAGTGCTGTGTTAGGTAATTCTTATTTTTGTCTCTGCATCACTACAACTTTCATAATTCTATAACAGAGTTGCTATTCTTATCCATTCTCATAAGAAAATGCTTTGTAAGAAAATGAAAGCCTTGATATATGGTTCAGTGGGCAACAGCACTTCCCACCAAACCTGATGACCTGAGCTCCGTCAGCTAGGAGAGAAATCTCTCTCTCTCTCTCTCTCTCTCTCTCTCTCTCTCTCTCTCGCCCTCACACGCGCGCGCGCGCGCGCGCGCACACACACACACACACACACACACACACACAGTAGCAGACACCTCCCCCAGGAAATTTAATACATTTTTTTTTGTTATTTGTTTTTTGAGACACAGGGTTCCTCTGTGTAACCCTGGGTGTCCTAGACCAGGCTGGTCTCTGCCTCTACTTCCTAAATGCTGGGATTAGAGGGATGTGCCACCATACCAAGCACTAAATTTTTTGTTTAAAAGAAAATACCACTTTAAATACAATGTTTATTGTTCAACTGATATTTTTATTAACATCATAATTTTTTTGTTTTTCAAAAAAAAGGATTTTTTTTTTTTTAACTGAGGGTTTCTCAGTAGCTATGAAGCCAGTCCTGGAACTCACTCTGTAGACCAGGCTTGATTTGAACTCAAGAGATCTACCTGCCTTTGCCTCCCGAGTGCTGGAATTAAAGGTGTGCACCACCACCGCCTGGCAATATACTAATTCTTATATTTTCTTGAAAATTCTGAATTACATATATGCACATATATGTGTATATGTAATATATTTCTTTTTATCTTATCTGACAGACCAGGATATACCAACCTATTTTTATACTTTAACTTTTTTTTTGTTTTTTTGAGGCAGGTTTTCTCTGTGTAACAGCCCTAGCTGTACTAGAACTAACTCTTGTAGACCAGGCTAGCCTCAAACTCAGAGATACGCCTACCTCTGCCTCCCGAGTATTGGAATTAAAGGTGTGCGCCACCACTGCCCAGCCTTTAACTATCTTTTTTAATTCCCAAGACAGGCTCTATGCAGCTTGAGATCATGTCTTCTTTTGTAGCTCAGGCTGACCCTAAACCTGAGATCCTCCTGTCTTAGCCTCCTGAAGACTAGGACTGCATACTCTACCACTGCACACAACCAAACAGTTCTTTAAATGGACAACTGAGTCCTACTGTATATTCAAACACTTATAAATCCTTCACAAGGCACTGAGAGACAGAGAGGAAAATGAAGTAGCCAAGGTGGGAACATTCCTGGGTATTATATTGCAGCTGTTAGATACACAACCTCCTAAATCTGGTTCCACCAATGCTGGCTCTGTCAAGGTCTTTCGCTGGTCTAGTCTTACTAGCTGCCTAGTTTCACTATCTTGATCTTTAAAGGTCAAGAACCTCCTATGCTTCATGGGGATGGGGTGGGGAGGGGTTCAACGTACAAAAGATAAAGAGCTTAGAGATACAGCTTCCCAGTCCTGCCAAGGACACTGCCTCGCAACCCCACTTACTGTAAACTCTGTCCAGTAAAATACTTTCAAGCTGTAGCCTCCTTCACCAAATGAGATCTCAAAAGACAAACTGGGGACCTCAGATCACAGTTAGAGTAGTTGGCTGCCCAAAGAAGTAGCTTGGCCAGATAACAATGGAAGCCTAAGTCTTGAGTTCAGTCCTGTGATCCATATTGTCAAAGGCAAGAACTGACTTCCACAGTGTGTCCTTTGACCTCCACACATGCACTATGGCATGTTTGCAACTCCCCAAAAATGTTAAAAAGGAAGAATAATAAATAAAATAATAAATAATAAAATAAAACACAACTACTGGACAATGAACATGTTAGGCCAAACAGGGCTACATACTGAGACCTTGTCTCACATACATGCACACACACAGAAGAAAAGAGAATACGGAAATGAGTGAATATGACCAAAACATTGTGTAAAATTCTCAAAGAACTAATAAAAGAATTAGAAGAAAAGGAAGAGCATGGTGTTGCTTGCCTATAATCCTAGCATTGGAGAGGTAGAGACAGGAGGATTAAGATGGTGGTGCATGCATTTAATCCCAGCACTTGGAAGGTAGAAGCAGGTGGATCCCTGCGAGTTCAAGGACAGCCTGGTCTACAAATAAAAGTTCCAGTACAGCTAGGACTAAATAGTAAGACCCAGTCTCAAAAACAAACAAACAAACTTCTTCCAGAGGATCCTGATTTGATTCCCAGCACCACACGGTGGCTCACAACCATCTGTAACTCCAGTTCCAGGGGGATCCAATGTCCTCTTCTAACCTCTGCAGGCACCAGACATGCATGTCATCCACATTCATACATGTAAGCCAAACACTGAAACCATAAAAATAAACATTTACATAGAAAAGGAAGGGAACTGGGTCAGCAGTTTAGAAAAGTTGTTGCTCTAGGACCGGGGCTCAATTCCCAGTATACACATGGTGGTTCACAACCATCCCCAACTCTAGTTCCTGGGGACTCAACACTCTCCTCTGACCTCTACAGGTACCAGGCACACATGTGATGCACATACATACATTGAGGCAAAACATACACATAAAATAAACCAATCTAAAAAAAAAACCAACAATATCACTTACAGTGTGTTGTGTGTTGTACTGATTTGAAACAGGATCTCTCTCTCTCCCTCTCCATAGTCCAGGCTGACTTCAGATTCATGGGCTATCCTACTTTCTCAGCCTCCTTAGTGCTAGGATTACAAATGCAAACCACCACACAAGCATTTCTTTTTAATTAAGTAGTTTAAAAATTAAACACCAGAACGCACCACATAGAAAGAGTGAGCACTGTTTTCAGTAACAGGTATGTGTGTGTGTGTAAATATACATATACTCATTTGAGCTGAAGATGTAGCTCAACTGGTAATGTTTGACTCACATGCATGAAGTCTCAGATTTGACCACTAGCACTGCAAAAACTGAGCATGGTGTTACTTGCCTATAATCCTAGCAGTGGAGAGGTAGAGACAGGAGGAGTAAGAGTCAAAGGTTCTATTTGTCTGCATAGGCAGTTTGAGATCAGTCTAGGATATATAAGTAAGTATAAAAACTTACTATGTAAGTCTGATGTTCTGAGTTTGATTGCTGAAATTAAAAGTGGGAAGACAGAACTCAATCTCAAAAGTTATTCTCTGACCTCTACATGTGCACTGTAGTATGTGCCTGTCTAAACTCACACATATACATCACACACACAGTACATTAACAAATTAAATTGTAAAAAATTTAAAAGCCACATAAAATGTGATAGTTTGAAAGAAAATGGCCCCCAAATGGAATGGCACTAGTGAGAGGTGTGGCCTCGTTGGAGGAAGTACATCATTGTTGGAGGTGGGCTTTGAGGTCTCCTATGCTCAAGCTTCATGCAGTGAGACAGACCACTTCCTGTTGCCTGTGAGTCAAGATATAAGAAGTCTCAGCTCTTCTAGCACCATGCTTGCCTACATGCCTCCTTGCTCACTGCCATGACAATAATGGACTAAACCTCTGAACTGTATGTGAGTCACCCAAATTAAACATTTTCCTTTATAAGAGCTCCACGACCATGGTGTCTCTCACAACAATATAAACCCTAACTAAGACATATACTTATTTACTCATTCATTCAAGGTTTGTATGCGAAAGGAATTTTTTTCTAAGGGCTGTAATCAATGAGACAATAGGCTGAGGAGATGGCTTAGTTGGTAAAGTGAGTTCAGCTCTCTAACACACACATAAAAAGCCAAGTGTGGCTGCATACAGCTGTAATCCACCTTGTGCTAAAGAGGCAGATACAGGAGGTCTTGGGACTTGCTGGCCAGCCAGTCTATAACCAATTGGTGAGCTTCAGGCTCAGTGAGAGACCCTGTCTCAAAAAATAGAATAGGGAACAGTTGAAGAAGACACAACTGATAACTCCCTATGGCCTCCACATACACCTACATGTGCACATACCTACATGTGTATACACAGACACAGACATACAAAGAGCTGGGAATATAACTCAGTTGTAAATTGGGAGGTCTATCACTTACAAAGGTCTGTATTCGATCCCCAGAACAGAATCAACACACACACACACACCCCAAAATAACTTTTCAAATTCAAGTTGGCGATGTCACTCCATTTGCAGTATCCCTGTCTAGCATATACAAGGCCCTAGATTTGACCTCTTTCCCACATAAACCTGCAGTGGGGATACACATCTGTAATCCCAGTATTCAAGAGGTGAAGGCAGAAATATCAGTACTTCAAAGTTATCCCTGGCTACATGATGAGTTCAAAGCCAACCTAGACTATATGGCAAACTGTCTCAAAAAACAAACAAAAGAAGTTTAAAAGCTAACTGGTCATAGGGAAGCAATTGAGGGCTTATAACAAGGGAGATAAAAGGAATTAATGAGACTGGCCATTAATCTCCTAGATGGCAAAAGTAATTTTGAACCACTTAGAAGCAATTCAGTCTTCAAAGGGCTCCTCTTTCTTCTGGCTGAAGGGGTCTCACAATCTTTCTGTTCTACACGAAGGGCATGAAGGAAGTAACAATAAGCAGTAGGGTACAAACTACTCAGATAAAACCTTTAATTTCATGTTTTCCTCTGACATATTTTCCCTCTTTTTTTGTTTTTGAGGCTTCACAAGGTTTTATTTCTTGATATACCCTTAGTTTTTTTCTAAACCACCGAATAACTTCCTTTCACATTACCACCCTGTCCTCACTCCTACTTAAAACTTTAGGTCCCATTGTTTGCCTTGTGTACCTTAGTACTGTATGGTTTATTTTCCTTTCATATTATAATTTTTTTAAATTTATTTATTTATTAAAATTATACATAAATTAGAGGGAGGGATATTTTTTGAGACAGTCTTACTCTAGCTCAGGCTGGCCTGGAACTCAGTAGCCCATGAGGACATGGAATGAGGCAATCCTCCTGCTTTAGCCTGGCGATTGCTGGTATCATAGGTATGAGCACTATGGCCTGCAAAATAGCATACAAATTTAAAAATATTTGTATGTGGGAGGTATCACACAATATGCCAATGCATGTGTGGAGGTCTAAGGTGAAGGTCAACTTGGGAAGCTGACAATTTACAGAGTTCAAGATCAGACTGGGCTACACAGTGAGTCTGTCTTCAAAACGGGGGGACACTTACCTCAAGTGTTAGATCCCCAGCACCACAAAAACAAAACCCCTCCATCTAGGAGTGCACACATAGTTTGGAAAGTAATGTGAGTTATGTAGAAATTAACTAGATTGGACAATTAAGTTTCGGATGTTTTCCTTTTTGTATTTATAAAGTTGCGGTAAGTAATTAAACACTGGACTGGATTCTCGCAGATGTAAAGGACTGAACAGCTACATCCACACTCTGGGTAGGGATAAATCTGTTTCTTCTGCCTTCCTGTGCTCAGGCTTAGGAAGGAAAGAGTCAAGAGGAATTACCTGTCTACTAGGTACTGGTCTATCCAGGACTGAGGGATTTCCTATAACATGGGACTGTCAATGCTGAAGTGGGGAAAGTCCTGGGCAAATGGGATGAGTCACCATCTCTAAAAGGTAGCTGTCTGTGTGCCCCAGAGATTGAAGCAACCACACTGATGTTTTGTTGCTGAAGTTCAAAACCTGGAGGTGGAGAAGCATAGTGAGCTACTTTGGAAGAGATTAGGGTGACCATGACACTCGGGAGCACTTCAACACCCATTTGGGGCCTACACAGAAGTAGCTGACTTACACAATGGAACTTTTGAGTTTTACAAGAATGTAATGGAAAGTAATTCTGGAAGATACATGTATTTTAAAAGAGAAGGTACAAACAGGCTAGCAGGGAGGTGGGGTTACCTGTCAAATGCTGGAAAAGCATTTAACCTTACAGTAGATGAAACATCGCTGCAGTGAGCAATTTCAGAAATTGGACACTTTAGCTTTTAAAGACACACAGTACTTCTTATAATCACTAAACTGAGTTATCTGTCCATCCAAGAAAGTGTGACTTGCAACAATTTTCAGAGCAAGTTAAAATGAAAGACAGCTCTCCTAGCCTTTTCCATACAATGCCCACCGGGACAGAAAGACCAAACCCAGGTATGAGCCTAAAAGATACCTGCAACTTGATGCTATGTGCAGGCAAATCAAAGGCTTAGTGTTTGAGACACTATAGGAGGGACATGTGAACAGTTTTATATTTGTGGTGCTGGGGATCAAACCCAGCAAATACACGGTCCCTGACTCACATTCTGAGCCTCACTTTTGCTCTTTGGGGAAAAAAAAAAAACATAAGTAGTTTTTCCTCTTAGAAAACTATCAAGATTAAATACTGCTATCAAGATAACAGTGCTTTAGTAACTCTGGATGAAAACTCTGTGGGGTCCTGAGTAAGCCAAGGAGGCAAATTTGGCCCTGACCTTGTTACTTCTTTTCAGGGCCTTACTTCATGTGCTCTTAAGTTTCACTTGAATTTTTCAATTTAAATCTCTGCCTACTGAATCCTAACTTAACACAATCTCATTCAGATCTCTTCTGTGACCCTAAACCCCAAGGTACCATCTATGTCTATGGGTTTCCAAACTTAACAAACAACTTACTTAATTAAACTGCTTCAGATAAACAATGAATTTTTTTTTTCAGACTTAAGACTGTCCCATTTGCTGAACATAGCGACACCAGTCTTTGAATACCAGCATTCGGGAGGCAGAGGAAAGTAGATAGCATAGGGAGTTCCAAGATAGCCCAGGGCTATAGAAAGACCCCATCTCAAAAATAAAAACAAGTCAGGAGGAGTGTTTACGCATGCCTTTAGTCCCATCACTCAGGAGGCACAGGCAGATGGATCTAAGTAAGATTGAGTTCAAGGCCAGCCTGGCCTACAGAGAAAGTTCCAAGACAATCAGAGCTGTGATACAGAGAAATACCAAAAAAGGGGAGGGGGGGAGAGCTTACTACTCTTGCAGAAAACCCAAGTCTGGTTCCCAGCATACACACACCCACATAATAGTAATTAAAACAGAAACAAATAAAACACCACCTCAAAATAACTGTAACTTAAGGTTAACAGATAAAGAAAAAATGCATAAGATTTTGTGGTTCAAGATCATTTTGAAGATGCTTATTTATTCTGAGCAAAATATATAACTACAGCAGCTTGCCACTACCATAGGTTAGCATTATAGCTACAGGCTCTGCAACAGAAAAGAGTATACCGACAGCTACTCGATAGTTTCATTATCCACCTACACTCTCACTTTTAAAATTACTTGGTTGGAAGACAGGTTGAGAATCCCCCCTATTAAATACTTAGGACCAGAGCTGTTTCAGATTTCGAGTCTAAAGTATCTGCATGGACTACCACTTGAATATTCCCGATTTGAGATTTCTCAGTACTCAGTTTCAGATTTGAGAACATTTCTGACTTTGATTTTCTGGTTAAGAATGCTCAACCTACAGGTGTAGGGTGTGCACCTATTGCGTTTATGAGTAGAAATGCCCATGAAGGCCCTTCAGAGAGCAGAGGTGAACACTTTCTCATGGAGGTATGCTAGCTTTTCTAAGCGAGTCCTTTTCAGTAGTGGAAGCCATTCCCAGTAAGATAATTCTACCACGCGGTACCCAATTCGAACCAGCTGCCTCCTCTTCATATTGTGCAGTCCAAGCAGATCCCTGGTACCATAGCAATATTGATTCTTGTTTGTAAACTGAATAGCTAGCTTCACTAGTGGGGGCTGCATGTGGGTTACAGGGCACAGACCATCTGCTCCCACATTCCCCGATCTGTCTGTCACACTGCAAGCAGAGTCCACTAAGGGTCCAGCTGTCTTCTTTCTTAACTCCACAGGTGACTGGCCAGTCTCTAACTCAATTTTCCCCTGAAAATATCTCTTGGCTTTTCCCTTTAGCAACCGATTCATCAAATCATCTGTAAGGCTGACTCCCACCTGCTTAAACTGTAATCGGGCTGCATCTTCCGTTGGTGTCACTTCATTGTTAATTGGTAATGGCTTCATGTTAGCATCAAGCTGAACCTCTAAGTCAGAAGACCGGGTATGAGGTAAAATCATATGGTGCTTGATGTACTGAGGGCCACCTAACATGGTCTCAAGTAAACAGAGAGCTTCTAGGAACTCCGGCTTTGACCTCATATCCTTGCATGCTAAATTCCACAGCATTACAGACGCCTCTTGCTGAAGGTGAGGATTAAGACGATTGCCCTTGTAATCTGGACACTCAATGGCGACTGTTCCATCAAGTGTATACAGTTCCTTCGTGAGTTCAAACTTACTACTCTCTTGAGCTAATCTGACAAACTCTGGACTCAGAGCAACATTGATGAACTCAGTTGGAAAGTATTCAGAAAATGCCAGGCCAAGCAGGCAGGTCAGAAGATGCTCTGGGTACCGGTTGAATTCAGGCATCTTCCTGTGGATTTCATTTATCAGACTGGAATAAAACTCTTCTGTGTTGGGTGGTTTATAGTTCAGTGTTCCAAATGACCACAGAATTTTGGCAACATCTTTACTTCGACAGTGTGCTACCCTTGGAGGCAAAGAGGCAGCAACTGCATTCATTACTCTTTCATCCAGGAAGCGTAAGGCTGAGCAGGCAAGAGTGAGGTGCATAACACCCTGAACCCCCAAGGAAGGAATTCGCTGAGGAGCAATTTCTCCAAATCGCTTCATGAAATTCACATGTTCTACATGAGTGAAGCGGAACATTTTCAGGATGTGAACTAAGGTGTGGTTGCTGAGATGCTGCATGTTAGCACAAGCCAGGTCACCAATTTTCCGCATGACAAATTCAGAGAGATTACTACTTGATTTAAAAAACCCCAAACAGATTGTACCAATCTCCTCCAAATTTACCAGATCAATATACTTAAGGATCAGTGATTCCAGCTTTTGCATTAGGTCCTGTGGTACCTGACGATTTTCACCTATAATATAAATTAAGTGAATCAGCTGAGACAAGGATAGCTCTTTACAGTGTAAATGAAGGTAATTAAAAAAAAAATTTAAAAAACGAGGCACTCTGTGGCCTAAGTTCCGCCAAAGATCAGCAACCAGGAGAAGCTGGTCCAGATTCATCTCCCACACCTGACGGCAAAACCTGGTTTCATACACATCTAGCATGGAAGGGGAGAGAGGGATTCTTAAATCAACAAAGGCTTTCAAAATACTGATCAGATCTGAGGTATCAAAGAGCTGAATGTTTTTCACACTCAGTTGGCAGAGCAAAGCAAAGCTCTTACTGGACAGCAAACCAGAATGCTGTTCCACTGGCAGAGAGCTTAGCTTACAAAAATAAGTAGTAATGACTTCTGGCTGGAGTTTATTTTGATAAACTCTGACTTTGTGCAAAATTAGTTCACCTTCTGAAACAGACAGGGGTTGGTGAGTCTCAGACCTGTTATAGCTGTGAAGCTGGTACTCTGGCCTTAGCTTTAAGAACACTCGGGTTCCTTCGAAGGCATCAAAAACCTCTACATCCTCTTTACCAACTCTTTCGGCACTGGGTTTGCCTGGATGCAATGTGTTGGCTTTAGGGGCAAAAGCTTTGTTGAATTCCAAACCCAGGTGGGCAATGCTGGTTGTGCAGATTCTCTGAGACAAGGTGATATCACCAATGTTCTTAACTTCTCGGGCAGGATGGCAGGAGCTATTATGTTCAGGAAGGTTCTGTCCCCCATGATGAATGATGTTTGCCATATTCCAATATGCCATGCTTTGGGCTGCACAGCAGGCAGAAGGATTACAAGATGCTTGGTATTTTAAAAGTTTTAACAACTTGAGAGTGGCTGCCATTCTGGAGTCTGTACTGATCTTTTTGGCAGTCAGAGCACAGTCCTCACACGTGTGACTAGGCAAGTTCTTGTTTATGTGGTGCTTGCTTAGAGACGGACAGAGAGGTGGTCCACAGAAACTGCCTGTAAATCTTCAGCATACCACAAGAGTCGTGGGCCACAAATGGTAGGGCCAGAATTGGTGCCAGATACTGAAAAAAGGGTAGATGAAGAATGAGTGGCTTCTACCTATAACACAAAATTTACACATTATAAGAAATAGGTACAGCCAGGCATGGTGGTACACACCCTTTAAAAGCAATACTTAAGAAGAAGGCAAGAAGAACTCTGGGAGTTTCAGGCCAGTCAGGACTATCTTCTGAGGCCTCATCTCAAAAGGCAAAAGGCAAAAAGATAAAAAGATGCAGGTTGTACTACTGTCCATGCAAGTATGCTCAATGTTAGTGAATGCCCAAAGCACAAGCCATCAAGTGTAAAGGACAAACTCTGTGCTTTGCAAACAGAAAAACTTCATATCAGAAGCATCATTAGGTGGTTTCTAGACTGCAGCTTGAAATAAACTCACTTCCTTGTAGGGAAGGACAAGATGGGGAAGGCAGATTTCCAAAAGGAAGCTGGGAGTAAAAGTAGGCAACTCATTCCATTTCTTTATTTTATTTTTTATTTTCACAGGTGTTTTGCATACCAGAAGAGGGCATCAGATCCCATGGGACTACAGTTATAAATGACTATGAGCAGCCATGTGGGCACTGGGAATTGAACTCCAGACGTCTGGAAGAGCAGGCAGTGCTCTTAACTGCTGAGCCATCACTCCAGGCCACAACAGGCACTTTGTGATTCTATTCTTCTAGGTCCAGGTTTTTTTCAAAACAGGGTCTCACTATGTAGTCTTGGCTGGCCTAGAACTCACAGAGATCGCCTTTCTGTCTCTCTCTCACAAGTGCTGGGATAAAAGACACAGACCACTACATCCAACTGAAGTTCAGTTTTTTTTGTTGTTTTTTGTTTTTTGTTTTTTGTTTTTTTTTTTTTTTGAGACAGGGTTTCTCTGTAGTTTTTGGTGCCTGTCCTGGAACTAGCCCTTGTAGACCAGGCTGGCCTCGAACTCACAGAGATCCGCCTGCCTCTGCCTCCCAAGTGCTGGGATTAAAGGTGTGCGCCACCACCGCCCGGCCCCTGAGGTTCAGTTTTAAAATGGAAATAAGCTAGGGTTAAGAGAGGGTTATGCAAAAGTAGAAATGTGAATGACAGAACTAAGCAGAAAATATCAATTCAATTCCGAGATGATTTTTTCCAGTAGGAAGGTCAGGTCAAAAAAAGCTAAATAAGGAGGCCTTTCATTTTAGAGGATATGAAGAAAACACAGGAGAAATCCTGAACTCCAGGCACTGCTTTGAGAAACTTTAATGCTGGCATGGAGGACTGTAATCTCAGCTACCCAGAAGGTTGATCCATCTCCAGTCCCTTACTTAGCTTTAAAGCATTATAACCACAGTAACCCTCACAGTCCTAACAGTACAAACTTAATTATAGGGCCCTGGCATTTGGGTGCTATTCCTCTTAGGAAGGGCTGACTATCCTCTGGTTTCTGAGTGGTCTTATGTAGCTTAGACTGGCCTCAAATTCATAAGATTTCTGCCTCAGTCTACTCCCTAGATGCTGGGGTTACAGGTGGGTGCTCATTACAGAGTTTGGATCACTAGCACAGATCATCAGGAGCTGGGAAGCTAACTCAGAAACTCATACATGGCAGTGGGCGGAAGCAAAGTTCAGAAGCCTGATCACTGCTGGTCCATAGGTAGAAAAGAGCCACTCAAAGCTGTGCTTCAAGGTACAAAGAATCCCAGGTCACAGGGCTGTCCTGCTGACCAGTCCAGAGATAGCACGAGACTCCTCTGGAGAAGGCAGCCTGGCAATGCTGCCAGTGAACCAGGTACTAATTAGGTCCTCACTTGGCTAGAAGCAGTACAGTTTCCATTTTCCTCCCACGGAAAAAAAAAATAAGTAGGCCATGAAAGAGACTCTCCTGTATTTCTCTACCTTCTCTTTTAAAAAAATATATATTATTTTTTTCCTGCAAGGTATGGTGGCACATGACTTTAATCCTAGCACTCAGAAGGCAGAGGCAAGTGTATCTCTCTGAGTTTGAGGTCACGCTAGTCTACATAGTGAGTTCCAGGACAGCCAGGGTGACATGATGAGGTTCTGTCTCAAAAACAAAAAAAATAGCAAAAGCTTTATCTTTTCATTGTATGTATATGGGTGCTTTGCCTGCTTCTGTGTCTGTGTACCATTTGTGTGTGGTGGAGGCAAGGTGCTGGGTCCTCCAGAACTGTAGTCCTCTGTAGGAGCAGCAAGTCCTGTTAACTGCTCAGGCATTTCTCCTGTTCATATTCTTTCTCCTTCAATGCTTCTTCTTCTTTTTTTTCATACTTACTAGCAAAGTCCAAAGGGATATAAGCAGTCAATCAATGGATCATACAGGGTTGGTGCTGCAGTATTTCCATGAATGATCTTCTGAAATATCTTCCTCTGTGCTTTTAGCCTGTTAGGTCTCAAACCCTGGACAAATGACTGAGCTGCCTATTTAACATGTCAAAGCACACTTGGCCACCAGATTTTCTCAGCATTCCTCAGTCCCTACCTGTTCAGGGTCCTCCTGGCTGGTACACCAAGACTCCCACCCTAACTTCTCCAGCTCAGAGGCTGGCTACACTTCCCCCCAGAGGCTCCTCCCTATATAATCCAGACATTTTGGTTATCTGCTCTTTAAACCTTTTGCCCTCTTGGCTGCTGCTCCTGGTTTCCCCCTCTCGCTTCTCCCTTCCCCTCCCCGCCTCCTCACATGGCTCAGGGTCATGTCCACTCTGGACTCTTTCAGATGTCTCTGCCTCTGGCAATGCTCCCCCATTTTATCTATAATAAACTTTCTCCTCCACCATACATAAAAGCAGTCATGTCTCATCAGGGTCCATACAAGGGGACCAACAGGCAACATTAAACTCAGGAACACAGCCGGGCAGTTGGCAAAGCCACACCCGAGTGAGCCTTAGAGAGGCAGAGCCAGCCCCAAGGACTATGTGTCCTGAGGACCTCCTCATGCTGTTACTGAGCATAGCTCTGATGGTTGCCCTAGTGGTCACCACGTCTCTCATAATCTATGGGTTGTATGAAAACTCTCAGTGGGTGTCTAGTCCTTCACTGGGCAGTGTTACTGGTACTTAAAATAATAGTGATTGATTTTTTTCCAAGCATTGCTGCTGGGGCAAATTCAACCACCACCCTTAGAAAGAATTTAGACATGCAGAATTGTTAGTAAGGTTAGGGTAAGATGTTTTTGTTAATGGCTTTGAGGTAGAAAATCTTGGGGAACAATTTAAAGTTTAGAAAGACAAACAGTTGAGCAAGGGACTCACTGAGGTCAGAGAACAAAACAATGGCAGCCTGGCTACAGCTGGCTAGGATGGGTTGGTGATTAAAGGTGGTCAATTCCTTGTACCCATTTCTGCCCTCAGCTTCCTGATATAAATAAAAACTGTTGATGAGTGGGTATGCACCATGAGGATTTAAAGTAGAGATGACTGATTGTTTTTCATATACAAACATTTAGATCTGCGATTCTTAAGATTTTTATAAGATTACCTTTTGAGCTGGGTGGTGGTGGCTTTAATCCCAGTACTCAGGAGGCAGAGGCAGGCGGATCTCTGAGTTTGAGATTAGCCTGGTCTACAAGAGCTAGTTCCAGGACAGGCTCCAAAGCTACAGAGAAACTCTGTCTCAGAAAAAAGATTACCTTTTAAGATAAGTTATAAAGTGATTGACCCTTTCTTTGTAACCAAAAAAATACAGCCTGTCAGCAAAAGAACTAGCTGAGAAAAATACCTTGTTTGTTTGCACTCTGTTAATCTATAATAAATTGCTTGAGTATGAAGGTATGTGGGTTCTTGGGACAACTTGTTTTTTACCTGTAATACATAAAATGTTTAAATGATGTAAGGGATATGGAAAACAAGTTTTACTGGTATTCACTGTAATCACTTACTTGGAAAATAGAATGTAACCATTGTAATTTTTATACTGCTTGGGAGACTTTGCTGCAGTACATAAAGCTATAAGGGAAAAAATACAGTCGTGAGAGAAGGAAAACAGGAAAGATATAGAAGGAAAGCTGCAGAAGACACCAGGAAGTAGATAGAGAAGACTTCAGGAAAGACATAGAAGGGGAACACCAGGCTAGATGAATGAAACGAAAAAAAAAAGAGTAAAACAAGAAAAAAATAACAAAGAAGCACTCATCCCTCGGACAAGAAGTCTGTGTGTTTTTCTCACTGACTCTGCATCTCACTCCCAGTCTTTCTGGACCCTCTGCAGTGTCCTTTCCTTTATATTTTGCTTTTTTAAAAAATTCATCTGGTGCCAAAACCCGGGACCAATGATGTCCATTCCTTTTCTATTTCCTTTTTTTATTCAGTCTCTTCTTTCCAGAGTCCATAAAGAGCCAGGACTGAATGGCAGGCCAAAGGACTTTATTCTGCTTACCAGGTTTCTTTCTCTGAGTGACAGGAATGAATGTTCTAATTTTATACACTGGGTTCCTTTTTTTGAGACAGGATTTCACTATGTGGCCCTGGCACTCACTAGGTAGACTAGACTGAACTTGGATTGAATTTAGAGCTCTACCTGTCTCCAAGTTCCTAATGTTGGGACAAAATATGTGCATCACCATACCTGGGGCTACATTTGGGCCCAAATTAAGCCCTGTGCCTGGTTTTCACAAGTAAAATTTTATCTGGACATATCTCATGTCTGTGTTAGCTTTCTCAATACAAAAACCGAGTAAGTAATCGTCTCAAAGACTGTATGGCTGTAAAACATAAAGTTTTTTTGATTAATTTGTTTATAAAAATTTCCACTTCTTCCCCTCCTCCCCATACCCTCCCATTCCCCCCACTCCCTCTCCTCCCCCCCCCCACTGCCTCTCCTAAAGTGCTTCTTTTTTATTATTATTTATTATGTATACAATGTTCTGCCTGCAGGCCAGAAGAGGGCACCAGATCTCATCACAGATAGTTATGAGCCACCATGTGTCTGGTTGCTGGGAACTGAACTCTTCTGGAAAGCAGTCAGTGCTCTTAATCTCTCTGAACCATCTCTCCAGCCCATATAAAATGTTTCTTATCTGGCTCTTTTATGGAAACAGTTCACAATCCCCTGCTGCAGACCACTGG